GCCTTATATAGTCTGGGGGCAGGGTTATAAGTCGGTTAGATTTAGAAGATAACCGGAAAGTAATAACAGATTATAGGAATCATGGGATCATACGTATCCTAACAGATCTCGTAGTATCTTCAGGATATCTTTCTGGTGTCTTGCGGGAGGCGCCGAACAGCGTCGTGCCCCGCAAGGCCACGTCTTGTGGGCTGGGCCACGTCTTGTGGGCTGGGCCACCCCTAGGGGCACAGCCCATGTGGTCTGTCATGGGTATCCGGGGTCGTACCCCCCACAGCTAGTCCCTGAGCGCCTTGTATTCGTTGTGCAACGTCGTCTTGAACTTGTCCGAGCAGTTGCGAACAAAGCCGAGCAGTCAAACTCATGGTCCGACCACCGTGATGAGTTGCCGGTCGCCGAGCAGCGTGAACCGTCGCCGAGTAGCATGAACCGTCGCCGAGCAGTGTGAACCGTCGCCGAGCTGTGTGAACATAAGTACGGCTTGCCATAAGGATGTAAGGAGCTCAAGTTCAGAATCAAAAATTTCCTCGCAGTGGACCAAGTGTGCCCACTTAGAGTCCGACCATGAGGAAGGGAGATAGTCTTCTTCAGCTTTAAGAGACGCGGAGTCTTCCAGATTAAAGCAAACACACTCACCGCAAGGTGAAGTGTGTCCACTTAGTCCCCGAACCTGACAGTAGGTGACGTAGTCACATGGTGCTAGGGTCCAAAGTAGAAGACCAGCCGAGCAGGCATCCAGTCCCCGGCGCGTAGCCTTGAGATGAGAAAAACACATTCACCGTAAGGTAAAGTGTACCCACTTAGTCCCCGAGCCTGACAGTAGGTGATGTGGTCACGTGGTGCCAGGATCAGAAACAGTCAACAGAAGAAAGCTTGCCGATGCCATCTGACATGTGTGTATCAAGACCCAGACGTGCTGCCCAAGATCAGCACCCTAATTCGAACAGCATGGAGCAGCTTGATAGCATACCGATGAGACGTAGCAAGATCTAACCACCAAGGGAGTCCTCAGCTTAGCTGACGATGCTTGCACAAAGAATCCGAGCACTAAGGAGTCCTCAGCGTAGCTAACGATGTTCGAGCACCGAGGAGTCCCCGGTGTAGCTGGCGATGTACGAGCACCGAGGAGTCCCCGGCGTAGCTGACGATGTTCGAGCACGTCTGAGCACCGAGGAGTCCCCAGCGTAGCTGGTGATATCCGAGCACCGAGAAGTCTCCGGCGTAGCTGGTGATGTCCGAGCACGTCCGAGCACCGAGGAGTCCCCGATATATCTGGCGATGTCCGAGCACCGAGGAGCCTCGACGTAGCTGGCGATGAAGCACGAGCGACGAACAGTCTGGTCAACTGGTCGGCGGCGAAGTGAGCATTGAGTAGAAGCGACCGGCGAACAGTCCGATCAACTGGTCGGCGACGAAGTCCATGAACCTAGCGGTCCGACCAGTTGATCGGTGGAGAAGTCCGAGCACCAGGTGGTCCGATCACCTAGACGATGATCCTGCAATACAAATATGTAGAACGGGTAGTACATGATGTAAAAATATATGAACTCCGGAGAATAATCAGCAATGGTGATGAAATAGCGTATGCAGCTCGGCGATCAGTTGGTTTGAAGATGTATTTATATTTAATACAAACCGCCAGACCAGTTAGTGTGTAGCTGAGTCTCCAGCCCTAACTAGCTTGTTAACCATAATACGGAGCGCGGAGTCCGTGTGCGTGTAGGAAGAACAAAGCGTCGCTAAGGAGCCGCTGCCGACCACCCATAACGCAGAGGACAGACGCTCGTGCACGTGTAGAAAGGAGCTGGAGACAGGGTCGTCTCTGGAGGCGTCCGAGCATCAACATGACTATTCGAGGGTTCGCTTAAGACTTAGCTGTATGTCATCTTTAAGATGGTATACATGAAAGAAAATCGTTTGGAGAGCAAAAATAGAGAAAACAGCTCCGAGAAACATTATGACGATATACGAAGATTGGAGAATATTTAGAAAAATATTAAAGCGTGACTTAGCTTTAGACAGAACGTCTGGTCGGCGAGGGAGCGGGCGGCGAATTGTCGGTGAAGGCGACCTCGGAGGTGGTTCCGAGATCGGATCAGTCATAGGTGTTGGGGTGATCAGCGCAGAATCGATCTGCACCGGCTCGATGAGCTCTCCTACTCTGTCAGCGTTGATGATCCACGAGATCGATCCGACCGCCAAGATCTGGTCGGGCGGTGGGAGGGACGAAGAGCTTGCGAAACATACCATCTTGTTCGTCATGGAAACAGCACGCACACCCCTACCTGGCACGCCAACTGTCGACAGAATATCGTCGGCAGTCCTCCGAGGGGTATCCCATAAAGGTAGATTAATCGATAGAGATGCGTGTAATTGAGAAAGAAGGCAACAGAGACACACGAGTTAGACAGGTTCAGGCCGTCAGTATGACGTAATACCCTACTCCTGTGGTATGTTGGATTGTATTGGTTATCGTATGATATTGCGTGTGTTTGGAGGGGGCCCCTGCCCGCCTTATATAGTCTGGGGGCAGTGTTACAAGTCGGTTAGATCTAGAAAATAACTGGAAAGTAATAACAGATTACAGGAATTATGGGATCATACGTATCTAACATATTTCGTAGTATCTTCAGGATATCTTCTCGGTGTCTTGCGGGAGGCGTCGAGCAGCGTCATGCCCCGCAAGGCTTCGTCTTGTGAGCTGGGCCACCTCTAGGGGCGCAGCCCATGTGGTCTGCGGTGGGTATCTGGGGTCGTACCCCCCACATAGATTGAGAATTTTAACTAAAAGGTTTATAAAAAAATTAGATGACAACTAAGGGCCTATTCGCTTGGAGGAATTCTGGAGGAATTTGGATGGTTTGGAGGAATGTTGAAGGAATTTGTGAGAGAAAAACACTGTTCCGGATGAAAAAAGAAGCGGATCAAGCTGGGTTTAAGGGCACGCAAACGGAGCCTAAAGGTGGATAATGAAAAAAATTAGATGACAACGAGTGGCTCTGTCAGGGTGTGATCATATTGTCATCCAATTAATCTCCATTCTTCCCTAACTCCAGCATGATCACAATTACAATGTGTTTGGTTTGGAGATCAAATACATCGCATATGGATTGGTTCGCCACCAAAAGAATCAGCTTGTTTGAGGTCTTTTGTGAAACAACTTCACTAGTTAGCTCGTTGCTAGTCTATGGAACATCGCACGTAGAACGGTTCCATTGAGAACGATTTGATGATGTGACACAAAACCATACATTTTGGTTGGGCACGTGTCTTGGACTGGATAATTCTGATTAGGTTAGTGACGCAAATCAAACACATTGTTAGGGATTTCGAGTTTGAGGGTTAAGAAGTGAGATGTGTGGTTGAAAGGTGATATCACAGGTGGTGCACTAAAGGTAGCGGCATGGGAAAAAATTTCTCTGCATACGTGATGCAGAGAAACTCTGTGCAGTATGACTTGGTTGTCGTTAGATGATTTTCCTATCACGCATGCATCCGTTGATTTCGCTAACAGCTCATCCTTCCACCCCAGTGATTTCTGTAACCACGTCTCCATCCGATGATTTCGCTAACCGCTCATCCTTCCACACCCAGCTGATGCACACTTGAGCGGCATCCGAATCGTGCTGCACGGGAACTTCTCTACATCACGTATGCAGAGATTTTTTTTTTCTAGCGGCATGCCACCAAAGTAAAGGGGGAGGAGAGGGCACTCACCTAAGGGGGGAGGAGAGAGCAGTTGTCCATTGTTGCAAAGGCCAAGACGTGATGGAGAAGTTTAACAAAATTCAAACCTGAATCTGTTTGGCATATCTCCAACTCCAAGATCTAGATTGAATATGTGGTCTGTACACTTAAATTAAATAAAGTGATTTAAGTATATTTATAAGAATTTTGTATATATAAGAATTCTTGGAGTTACAAACACTCAGTTAGAAAGATGTCTAGACATCAGTTACAAGATGTCTATTGATTTTATGGACCTGAAGCTTGGCCAAAGGGCAGGGATGGTGACACGATGGATTTGATCATGTGGATCAAGGGCTGAAAATTCAGGGTTTTTTTTTTGAGATAGCTGAAAATTCAGGTGGTTGTTGGGTGGTTCAACACTGGGCACGACGCGAGCGGCAGTGGGTCCGGCGGTACGTGATCGGGCAAAAAAAGAAGAAAAGAAAAGATGCACGCACGCACGGCCCACACACAAAAAAAAAACAAGTCAGCAGCCACTTGGCCGGCCGGCGCGCGCTGAGCATGGAAATTCTCCAAACGCAGGACCGGTGGACACGCGCACAGCGCACTTGTGCTGCACGCAGGTGCGTGCGTGCCGGCCTCCAGTCAGCCTCGTTCCTGTCCTGGCCGTCCAAAGGCGCGCGCGGGGCGGCGGTGTGGGAAAGGGAATTTCCACCATGTCGCGCGCGTGAATTCCGATTCCGCCCAGCCGAGATCCACGGCACGGTTGCCTGCCCGCACGTTGCGACCAGAGTCTATCTTCCACGATCGGTTTCCCACGCCCTCGGCGCCGACGACCGTACCGGCCGTCCGGCCGGTTCCACGAGCTGGGCTCCGGCGCGTGCCAGGCGTTTGCCGGTGCCGCCGAACACCCGGAAGGAGCAGGGAGGTGGTAGTAGCCAGCGAAACGGACGAGTTTCACCGTACGCCGGCTGAAGGGTAAAATGCACATGCGACTTGCGAGTTCCGCTTCGTCAATATCCGTGTATATATAACACATTCCACGGACACACTTATTTTCAGCACGATCGCTATTCGCTCGTGAATCAACAAAAAGTACATACAACACGCTTCCCCTTTAATTTCTTCCTGGCAGGTAAGGTAACCACCGGCCGGCGAACTCTACCGACGAATCGAAACACTCACGGGCATGCATGCATGGGCTTCCGCCGTCACTCCTGTGCACGAACGGGAACGACGACGCTCTCGCTCGCATCAACTGGTGACAGACATGTCGATCTGATAAGCGTTGTTGGAGAAGTGACGACGTTTCATGGCGAGCTGAGGCTTCTGGTCAGTTCAGACTCTGTTGCTGGTTTCCGGACGCTTCCTTCGGCGGAGGCTGCTTCGTCTTCAGGCTGCTGCGCCTCCTCTCCCTCTCCCTCTCCTCCTTCAGGTGAATCTGCGTGTACAACTAAATGTAACCATGGAATGACAAAGGATTTCAGCGGATGCGTGCATGGGTACATATATATATACCGAACAGAGATTTGACGCTTGGTCGCTTTGCCTTCTCCTTCTTCTTCAGCTCAGCTGTGCAGGAGCACAAGGTTATCAGTTGAAAAACACAAGAACAGCATGGTCTGAATGAATGAAGACTTGTTATCCTGCTAGATACTTTTTTTCCCTCTCCTCTACCATGTTGAAGAGTCTGCGCCTCCCAACCTTTTTTGTGGCTTGTCACCTAAATTCACTTATACTACTCATATGCACAGAATTGAAGCTGGAAATGAGTACTGTACCCATCCCGGGGACATCGTGGTCGTTCACAAGTTCAAAGTTCTTGTAAGTATAGCCCACAAAATTCAGATCCTTTGAAGAAAGCATCTGGAGGAAAACACAAAAACAAGAATAAATTTAAAGATGCGCATACAATTGAAAAGCAGCAATGTAAAGAGGTTTGAGAAGTATTAATATCTGTTTCCCTAAAAGATTATGTTAAGGTATTATTACCTTTCTCCAAGGGCCCGTCTTTGCTGAACACTGAACATTATCCGAGGACTGCGAATATACCACATAAATATATTTAGAGATCTCATATATTATATTTATCTAATAATTTCCGGTGAGTGAGAAGCACGTTTCTTTATAAACAACCACATCAGTTACCTCTTCAAATTTCTCAAAGTTCTGAGTGTCCAACTCATCTGTGACTTGAGGCAGATACGCAGCTTCTATTTCATATAGTTTGTCCCATTCTAATCCACTAAACCAGGAGTGCTCCTAGAGTTACACATACAAAGTACTATGAGCAAAAGATCAGTAGCATCTGTCTGGGCCATGTTGTCACAGTTAACAAACACATAACAACCTTTATTTCTTCTGCGCCTTTTGTCCCGAGGCGTTGGTCGACATTGCAAAGTAGTTTACTTATGAGATCTTTCGCATCTGCCGTTAGCCTCGCTTCTTCAGGAAATTTCAAATGTGTTCTCCAATTTACTATCTGTTTTTGCACATATAGGCATGATGTAAATAAAGGACATTGGAACAAAATAGAGACTAATGAACCTAGAAATCAGTTAATTTGGAAGATGAGCATGGTCCAATCACCGGAAAGACCACGAAGATTATTTTTCATAGCTAAAAGCTTAAAATACGTTACCTTTCTACAAGTTGTCATAGGCTCATCTGAATAAAATGGAGGATAACCCACTAGCATTTCGTACATGATAGCACCAAGGGACCACCTGGAAACATGAAATTTGTTTTTCTTTAAACTCAAACTCAATAAGATCAATGGTGCAAGCAGTACTGCAAGAGATGCTTAATGCTTACCAATCACATTCCATCCCATAGCCTTTCTTCAGAAGAACTTCTGGAGCGATGTAGTCTGGTGTTCCAACAGTTGAGTAAGCCTGCAATCATTTAACTAATCACTTGTCAGAACTTGGAAGGACAAGTTATAAAGAAGGTATTACCAAATAGATAATTAACTACATATAAATTGGTAAAATATAATGCAGGAGTCACAACTGATGATGTCATTATGTTAGTTACTGACCAAAGTTCTTCTATTCTTTTGCCAGTGCTCCAACTGTTCTTGCTGCGAGCGCTTTGGCATCGACTGCTGCTTCCCATCCCCATGCATCGACGATGATTTTGTAGGCGTAACGTCCTTTTCATTCAGGTCTGGGAAGTTGGAATAGTCTAACGGTTTACACAATCCAAAATCTGACAGTCTCAAGTGACCATACTTATCCAGTAGCAGGTTATCAGGCTTGATATCTCTGCAGATTCAGGTACTGAACTCATCATAAACAACACATCAGCAGCGGTACTGAACACGATCGCACTCGCTGCATACCTGTGGATGTAGTTATGCCTGTGGATCGCTTCGATCGCAAGAACCGTCTCGCCAACGTAGAACCTGGCCTCATCTTCAGTCAACGTGTCTTTCCTCATGAGCAGGGTCATCATGTCGCCTCCTGGGAGGTACTCCATGATCAGGTACAGGTACTCACTGTCCTGGAATGAGCAATATAGTTTGACAATGCAGTGGTGATCCACTTCGGCAAGAAGATTCCTTTCAGCTCTGACATGCTCAACCTATGAAACGAACCAAACAAAGCACTCAGGGAAAAGGAACAGTGGATACAAAGATGAATTCAGACCTTTGATAGAAATAGCTCTACCTGACCTCGACGAAGCATTTCTGACTTCTTAAGCTTCTTCATCGCATAGACATTTCCTGTGGTCTTCTCTCTGCAGACTCTGACCTAGAAGAAAACCATTGTGTCAAGCGAAAACGATTTTATAAAAAAAACAGAGGGAATTGGATACAGAATGGTCGCTTTATTCGCATGTAGGTTTACCTCACCAAATGCTCCCTTGCCTATCATTGTTAGCAAGTCAAAATCCTCGACGCTCATTTTATGCCTTTGCAAGCGCATGTACTCCGTTTCTTTCTTCTCAAACTGCTTCAGGATGTTGTGAACCTCCTCTTCGGACACATCAGCGTCTGCTAATTTCTTTTCTAGACTACACCGTCTACATGACAACAATGCAAAAGTTGAGATGCCATCGGTAATGATAAATTCTTTTGAGAAAGAACTTGAGTGCATAATCATATTGGAACATATAAATTTCATCACAGATCCTTACCTTTCTTTCCTGTCCTGCAGATGCTTCATTTGCTCCTTGTAGTGTTTCTCAATGTACTGCTTGGCCGCTGCAACCCTCTGCTTGGTTGCACTCGATGGCGCATCATCGCCGGATTCCTTGCCATTGGGAGGCAATTCCTTCTTCTTTCCAATGGATTTCTCCCTCGTTTGGAGCTTGGTAAACCAGCTCCTTGCTGAATCCATTACGAGCAAGAGAAGAAGGAAACAATTGCCGCACTACGATCCCAACTAATTGTGTAAGCCTACACACAATTGTCTGTATAGAAACTGCATCCGGAAAGCAATCTTAACTTGAAGTACAAATTCAGTGCGATCTATCTACAAGTGAACAGCCCAAGAAATAAAACAGATCATTAGAATTTTTATGTGCGGTGCTCCAAAGTAAAGGGGAAATTTCGATCTAGAATTTACGCCTAGAGTGGCGAAATATAGTCATTAAATTTTTAGGCAAGTCGAGAAAGGTGGTGGAAGAGAAGCGAGGACAAAGGCTACAAACAGGGATATGCTAAAAATGCTCCGTAGAACGAGTGGTTTTGGTTGAGACGTAGAGACCAAGCGTTGAAGATAATACTTTCACTATCAGCAAATTTCAAAACCTGTAAGGCTAGCCTATTATTGGTAAAGTCATTTTTTTAGCGATCGGAATGGCTTGTATTTCCAAATTCTTTTGGGAGTTAGGGTATAGTTCGTGGAAATTCTAGAATGATTTGGATCAGAGCCCAGGACGGCATGATCATACTTCATACATTTCCAGTCTGACGAACACGTCTCTGAAACTGCAATCAGCAAGTAGTAGTTGTCACGGCAGCTATACTTTGAATGGAATGACGTATGCCTAACGATAACTTGAAACTTGAGAAGACTGACTGAATACGATAGCAAACAGTCTTTTGCCGCACTTGTAACAGTATTTTCAATCTTCCGCCGCAAAATACACATCGAGGTCAGTATGATTCTGGTATTGGTTTGTGTAACATAGCACAAATAAGATAAGCAAGAAGGGAGGCTGTATCTATATCCAGACAATCTGAGCATCCATTCATGTGGTGAGATGGGTAACACAACTCTGGAAAATGTTTTATTTCTCGGTTGACAACTGGAACTGGAACGCCGATCAGTCATTTTAACCATTTAATTTCGGAAGGGGTAGAGGCTTCCAGCAGGCCAGATCCAAGTCTTGTTCAGTATTTCAGCTACCCATTTCCCTTCAGATAAACAAATGCCAACAGTAGATCATGCATCCATCATCAGAATGCCGCCCATCCAGCTCCTGTGCTCTTCGTTTGTCCGGGTTCAGCCGATGAAGGTAGATTTTGCTGCGTATCACATATATATGGTTGAAGTGTAAGGGCATAAAGGGGTGAGTAAATAAAATAACCATAAAACAAAGGCCTCCAAAATTTAATTGACATGGCCATTCTACGTTTTTATGTATGCTTATCCAATTGAACGAAGAATATCAAACATTCTTTTTTATTTGTTATAGACTTATTAGTTTCATTTGACTAGGGGTACCTAAAATAGAGGTGACAAGATTGACAAGATCCAAATGAACAGCTTCTTTTTTACTTGTTTATAAGCACAGAGGATTGCTTTAACATGTGTAGCTTAAATCTTGTCTTATTATCAGTTTATGAAATTGGCTAGTATGTGCATGGGGCAGCTGCATGTGACCTTAGTAGTGCTCCATTCTGGAAGGCAATACCCTAAATTGTAAGGCTCCAAATAGAAAACCTCACCTTTATAGCAGAAAGATCTGAAAAAGGATCATTATTTCTATTGGTGGGTTCTTTTGGAGCCCTGATTCCTGCAGTATGTCCAGAATTCATCCTTGCAGCTGCAGGGTCGTTAGGTGGAGGCGGAAGAGGAGATCGAAGCTTCCCAGCTGCACCTGGAGGTGGCGCAAGAAGCATGCTTGTCTTTGGTTTTGCGGTGATCCCTCCAGATAAACCAGCAGCTGAAAGCATACCACTTCCAGTTGATGGCTTGTTTTTTACAGTTATCCTAATGGTTTCACCTTCCTAAAACAAAAGGAACACCATTCAAGTTCATGCAAGTACCAGAGATAATGCATTGACAGATACAAGAGATGGACACGACAGTGCTCCTGTGTAACCAGTATGATGCTATGTGGGAAATTTACAGCACAAACTACAAATTTACAAAAGGTGCAATATTCACTTTCTTGTTGAGCATTACCACACAACATTGGCAGATTGATTAACTAGTAACTCGTAAAGTACATAACGGCCCTGTTTGGTACAGCTTATCCGGGAAGCGCTTCCCAGATAAGCTGCACAAATAGAGTAAAAGTGGCGGTCAAAATAAGCTGGTCTGATCCAGCTTCTGCTTTTTAGTACAAATGGGAGCTGTGGGAATAAGCGTGGCCAGAATAAGCTGCTGAAAAGCGTGGCGTTTGGCTGTTGATTTCAGCTTATTTTGGCCATAAGCAGCTTATAAGCTGTACCAAACAGGCCCAACGTAGCCTTTGTTCACATATGCACAAGGCTGAGAAGTCATAATTCTTTCCTGCTTTTCAACAAATCAAGGATCCTTCTGGACCAATTTGTATCAATAATTTCACACCAAACAGGTCCAACAGAAGTTGCCGAAATAATAGGCTCATTATTTGGTTCCAGTGATTAAAAAAAAATCCACCTATCTGAAAATTGTTAAGAGAACAAATTGACTGCCTGGATAAAAGTCTAAGAGAGTATTATTTGTGAGAAAGCTTGATATATTTCTACGAATTGATTGTGTTACTTCAGACTTCAGACAAACCAATAGCAGAAATACAGAACAAGGTCATCTATAAGCCCAATCAGAAATGAACTGACTAAAAATTGCTGATTTGCTTGGAAGTCTGTGTCATCTATAATTCCTTTTGAGTCAGTTTACGAAGTTAGCTGATCACAGCTAGCTACACATTATCATTTTCAACTATTCTACTTGCATAGATTGCTAGTTTTACCAAAGATAAACAACAAAATTTCCAAGCTCATTCGCTTAAGTACAGAACATTCTGCCATTCACAGGAAGCAATAACAGAAGGAATTAGTCAAACAATAACGAAAAGAAGAGAGAACAAGTGCTTTCAGCTCACCTTGAGTCGGCGATTGATGGCCGGATGTATATCAATCTCGCCACCGCCAGTCTCCTCGCCGCCAGCGCCGGCAGTCTCCTTCTCCTGCTCCCTCTTGACGTACTTCTCGTGGTCCGAGAGGGCGACGTTGAAGTCGAACGCTTCGTTGCGCTCGTTGAAGCCGAGCCCGACGAAGGCGTGCTTCCCCCTGCCGTCCTCGATGCGGAGCACGAAGTAGCGGGAGGAGTCGAGCACGGTCTCGACGGCGCTCTCCCGCTGCCCGGGCAGCACGAAGCAGGCGGCGAAGAGCTCCCCCGTGGCCGGGTCCTCGAGCCGGATCTCGCAGCGGTCACCGCAGGACACCACGCGGAGGCGGCCCGACCAGATCTTGTCCGACTGCAGCCACTCGCCGCACTTGTAGCCGCCGCTGGTGGTGCGGGGCGGGATCTTGTACACTGACACCTCGCGCACCACAAGCAGCGTGTGCTCGAAGGCCTCCTCCTCCTCGGCCAGCGACGACGCCATGATCCCGCGTCCCCTCAACTCTCTGCTTCCTCACTGATGCAATCCAAGAACAGGTAATGGATAACGGGATCAGGTTACGACAAGAGGGAAATGAACCAGTAGAGATCTGGATCACCTCGGGCACGATCTGAGCCAAGACGATATTTCTTTGCTAGTATTTCGTAGGATTTTTGGCGGTTGGGGGTTTGGATTGGGGTTCTCGAGGAGAGGAGAAGAAAGGTTGAGGAGAAGACGTGGGATCGAAGGGTGGAAGGTGGAGGAGGAGGAATGCACAAATCAGAATGTCACATTTTACGATTGGGTCCTTCCTCTTGGGTTGATTTTTGCTCAGGTCTTTCTTTCTTTTTTCATTTTCTTTTGCATGTGGTTTTTTATTTACGAACATGGAATTTGTGCATTTCATAGCAGAGTTTTTTTTTATTATGACCAAGATCACACCAGAGGTTGGGGGCATCAGTGCACACCAACCAATTAGGTTGGAGCGTCGCCAACATAAGGGAGAGATATAGCAACTAGAACTAGTTTAGATACATCTATTTCTTCGAATGGGTTGGAGAGAGAAATTGGTTTAGTTCTCTCATTCCCCTGCAATGCATAGAGAAATGATTTATTCACACAAGTCCAAAAGTGATTTTTTTAGAGAATATACATCCATAATAGTTTGTAGAGATTTCCTTCAAATATGATAGTTTCAGTAAGCTTTCATCAACCAATAACAATAAGTTTGCTGGGTTGGAGCTGCATATATTTATTTTATTGATATGTATATGTCATATGTATGTATTTATCTCGAAATCAATAGCAAAACAAACCTTTAACATGAAGTTATACAAGATATTTAAATAGACCGTCAAGTTTGTCAACAAATTATTGCAACATCCCTTTATTTGCCCATCAAGATCATAATATAATGGGCACACACACATGTACCTTCAAGCCACCACCTTATGTTGTTGAGATTTCACTTGCACCCTTGACCATGGTTTTGGAAAGCTTTGTTGATTTTCTCGGTACTAGATCAGAGTGAAGGGGCACCTACTTTCCTTAATCTTGTGTTGTTGGATAAAATAATAGTAATGAATAATATAGTTTTGCTAGTATGTGAAAAAAATAATAAAGACTAATGTTACAGTATCGTGAAACAAAATGTTATTCAAGATTTCATCGTTGTTGTTGCCGTGTGTTTGATCAAGATCAACCATGTACATTGTCATGTCATAATATGGCATTTGGACCAGGAAGCCGGTTCAACTCCGAGGAAGAGGACATGCAATGGTGCAAAACTGAAAAACATAGAGAGCACACATGAATAAATACAGCATCGAATCCAAGCCTTTCCAAATGCCAAATTTTCATCTCGCGTCCTTGACCGATCTTGTCAGTTGTCAGAGGCCACCACGCCACGCACCATGGAGTGTTCTTGCCTGTTCTCTTGGTGCACATAGGCCGAATTTCGGACGTCAGCGCCGCACATGTTTGGGGGCTTACTTTGGTAAACTCGTCGCGCGCAGGATTATTTGCCTGCAACTTTTGACCAAATGCCACTATGGGCTATGGCCTTATTATGCATGGTGTCCAAACTCCAAACCCTTTTTTTAATCTTTTGCGTTACTGACAAGTGACAACAGACGACGCGTTGGCAAGTTTGGTCTGTCTGTCGCGTGAAATACTGAAGGCTTCGCAAGTTTATTCAGAAAGTGGATCTCTTTTCAGTTTTCACGAGACTGTTCAGAGAATGGACAGCTATTTTCTGCGAACGATCAGTAAGACTTCACCCAAACAAATCATTCGGAAATGGAACAAACAGCTGGGCATGCCGCAAGCGTAACTAATAATGCTGAATGCTGATAGGCATAGAAACAAAAACATGGCCTGAATCATCTCAAGGTTAGCAGTTCCTTGTACTCATTTTGCTAATTTCAAAACTTTTTTTCTTCAAAGGAGGAAAAATGTTATGTTAAAATCACTTGACTAATACTCTTTCTATTTCAAATTATAGGTCACTTTTAGGTTTGTCCTGAATTAGTTCTCTAACGTTGACAAGGTTTATTAAAAAAATGCACCATCAAATTAGTTTGAACTTGTCAATGTTAATATATTTTTCTGAAGTGACAAATCTGAAGTTATTATTAGAGAAAACTTACTTAAGACAAACCTAAAGTGCCATATAGTAATTTGGAAGTGCTAGTAGACCAACTGAATGGCCACATAAGCAAGTACTAGTAACAAGAGCAATGCACGTGATGACAGTGCACGAGAAACAGTAAGACATGACTCATGATCCTTACAGAATTTCAGACCTTTGATTTCACAGCTACCCATGATTGTCATGTTCTACACATTAGTCTGGAACCTTTGAGTTCACTAGCTCCTACAGCAAGAGAGAGATAGCAGCAGCACTGTCTCTGCAAACTGCGCCTGATAAAACTACTTCAAAACTTGTACTTGATGAGCAACAATAGACATAATAACCAATCCAAAGGCAGAAATGTCGTCTAGTTCAGGACTAAACTTGTCTAAGCACTAAATGGTGGTATCAAGCTAGTACGTGATTCTTTTTTTTTTTGGCAACTGATACGTGGCCCAAAGGAAATTGAAATTTTTGCTTTCCTTTCACATCTCCGATGAGGCGGACGTGGATAGTGGTATCCCTCTCCACCTTAGACTTCACAAGAGTATCCCCAGGAGACAGAGCACGCCCCCCTGTAACGTAAATAGTAGATACCTGGCTTAATCGACAGCTTTTCTTCAATTTTCTTCATGACATCCTTTTGTCGTGTCAGACAAGTCCAGCATCACAGTTAATGTCTTCCCTTCCAATGTCCTGACGAAGAACTGGACAGTTCGATCCATATGTAATGTGAGAATGTCGTTGTTTCTGACATGCTGACTCTGGAGTGTTTTTTGTATCTTTAAGCACTATAAAATGACCACCAACTTCAGCGCTGAGTATCTGTGTCCGTGCAAGCGCACCCTCCAAAGTCTGAATCAGCAGCTTGACATCAGCAACACTGTGGGATCTTTTCACACTGAGCTTGATAGTCTTTCTAACCGATGGGATCTTGACAGATATTTGCATCCCATTGGTTACATATAGGTTCTGATATAGCTTTACGGTGCCATTGTTCCTGATGCCTTGATTCTGCAGTGTTTCAGTGTCTTTGAGTGCTGCTTTAGCACCACCAGGTTGAGTGTGCATGAGTATCTGTGTGCTTGCAGGTAAACCCTCCAAGGTGTCGATCATCAACTTGACATCAGCAACAGTATACCAACTTTTGACATCGAGATTCACGGTTCTTTCACCATCAACATCCACAGAGATACGCAGCCTGTCAGTGGGGCAGACCAAAACATGCAGGTTGTGGCCATTGCTCAAACCACACTGACTCAACAACCAATTGTCCTCAAGCTTTTGGCCTCCATACGTCAGGATTTGTTCATCCAGAGGAATTCCCCCCCTTCAGTTCGATCATTGCCTTGACATCAGCAACACTCTGGGATTTCTTCACATTGAGGTTTATGGTCTTCCCTTCCCAACAGAGGGGATACTGACAGAGTCTGCATCACATCAGTTACATAAAGGTCGACACAAGAGTTTGCCATGATATTGTAATCAGCTGGCTTATAAGCCACAGAAACGATCAAGCGAACGGGGTGGTCAACACAAGAGTTTGTCATGATGTTGTAATCAGCAAGTCTGCTGTCCTTCTCCAAATGATTTCCAGCTAAAAAGAGAGCTTGCTGGCTAATGTCAATCCCCTCTAAAGCACCGATCTTAGACTTGATCTGATCAACGGTATCAGTGCACTTCACATCAAGTGGCACTGTTTTCATCATCCTTACATAGATCTGCAAAGGGAACAATTTAATCACCAAATTGCTAAGCAACCATCAATATATCGAAAGGACAAATGCATCAAAGATTCAGAGTTTGCAATAAAGGAACATCAGAACAAGATTGGAACCTGTATACAGAACAGTAAAAAGGAGTTAAAAGTACCACACCTACGACCTGTTCGTTTGGTCGTGTTTGGCTTATAAGCCATGGTTTATCAGTCAACGAACAATATTTTTCTCTCACACCAAATCAGCCAAGAGTACTTTTAGCCATGGCTTATCAGTCAAACAAGCCCAAACGAACAGGGCGCTAAATCTCAATAAAACGTTGTGATACTGGCCCCGTTCGGCTTACTGAATCTTGGCTGAAACTGGCTGAAAAAACTGTTCTGGCTGAATTGTTGTGAGAGAAAAACACTGTTCCGGCTGAAAAAATAAGTCGAACAAGCCGAATATGGGGTAAGCCGACTTTTTTTAATGACATCGGTCTTTCACACTGAACAAGGCAGTGAGTTTTTTTAAAAAAAATATATGAGCAATTTGTGACCCAGGATGCCAAGGAAATTATTGCTAAGAAATACTGAAAGACACATCAGTGTTGAAGGCATTCCAAGAACCGATCAAAGTTGACACATGCATAGGAGCAAAGCACGCACTATAAAGTACTTGTTGATCCCGGGCTGTCCTGTATAGATAAGCTAGCTTATCAGCACACACACTCATTATGGCTAGAGATAGAAGAAGAGATTGAGAACAGCGCACACACACTCAGCACAAGCACCAATATTGGGCGAAGCCCTGCCCTTTGATTTATAGCAACTGAACTAAGTATTTCATTACCCTTTAGATGGAATATATACAACTCTATCTGCACCTCTACCAGGTACATAGTTGTTGGTCAACTACCTACTCCTAAGTACAAAAGTACACCAACTACCTACTCCTAAGATACAGAGTAAAGCAACTACTCCTAGCAGTATAAAGCTTACATCAGCCCACTATCAAGACATAGTTGATGTAATAGCTACCAACTAATGTACTAGAGGTGGCCTATTGCAATACTGCTACAGCTATAAGAACAGGTCGGCAGAGCCGATCAATCCCCAACTTCCAACAGGGAGTGGTCGCCCGAACCGACCAATCTCCAACCAAGGAGAGAATGG